CTTTGGTTGTTACCAACATCTGGTGAAAATTTCATGTCATTAGCACCTCTAGTAATATATTTACTGAGAAAAATGTTGACGTGTTCGATACTTATTTTACCCACTGTATATCCAGACAGGAAGGTACTAGTCGTCAAAAAATTATCTTTACATGTTCTCAATAATTTTTCTATAATCAAGACTTCATCTTTTAACTTGCCACACAAGAAAAAATAATCGATCCATCACAATTCTATGTTCCAAGTTCCGCCCACACCAGRSAACTCTGCCAATCATGGTTAGGACAAACTCCACCCACATAGACAAGAAACTCCCCCATGTCCTGCAGGGACCCCCACATAAATATTTACTTCTTTCAGTTTTGCTTTACTTTTTTATTCTCATAGAAATAATTTTGAAATTCTAGAAATGCTACACTGAAAGCTTCTGCTACCATTTATGCTTGTAAAAAAGCCATGAATCATGATGTCATTCAACATAAAAGCTTATTAAGAAGTGTTTTAAATGAAATGTTTGGACGTTTTTAGTATCAGAGTTGTTTTAAGGTGTAGCAATCTACTCTGGGCCTAACTCTGAACAGACATTAGCTCATTAACTCTGTCAAAAATAAGCCATTTCTCCAAACTGAAGTTGTTCAAAAAAAACTATCTATAACAGGTAAGATATTAATTGTTTTTTCAACAGAATCTCAGGACCTGTTTCACAGTGTTTTTTTTTGGTGAAACCATAGCATCTGTGCTGCATTTCAATTGCTTGACTACACAACAACAGTCGTTTTCTCTGAAACAACASGGTTTTAAATCCACGTCTCTTTTTTGGGAAATTCCTTGCACTGGTATGAAATCATGCATGCAAAAAAAAAATCACCTCTGCAGTTATGTTTTTCTACATTTGCGCAAGATGAACAATAGTAACAATGGTGAGTAGCAGACCGCTGTTTGTGCTGCTCATGCTTAGCAATATATGCGATCAAACCGACCTCATTCTCGGTCCAAACGAACGTTTATTCACCATTTTGGATGTAACTGTTTTCAAGTGTCTGCATGAATGTGTGTGCTGTTTTAAATACAAAAATGTGTGCTTACATGGCATGGAAACGACAGCAGATTCAAAGAGCAACTTTTCTACAATCAACGCTTGATCGTTCACATTCAAACAGGGCCTCGCTTTAGAAAAATGTGAACTATCTCTTTRAGACTTAACGTCTGCTGTATATAAAGGCTGAAGAACCCCTGCTGGCAACAAGATGCGACCATCTGGGAGGACCACTTGCAGTGTTTTTACACCCAGGCACCCTCCTGCTGCCTATAGTCCCCTTACTTCCAAATGCACATAATGCCCAAAAGTTCATGCTGGGTGAGGAGATAACCCTGACAGGTTCCCACAGCACATTTCCTGSTCCAAACAACATTTTTAAACAATTCTGAAAATTGCAGGGAATGCCACCGCCACTTCAGTTCTCACATTTTCTAAATACCACCGTGTCGCTCTCGTGCAGTGCTGGACAATTCCTTGGTAATGAAAAAAAAAGGGGTGTAGCTTATGTGTCACTGTGCAAATAGTCATCCGTGCCTGGCAGGGGTCTGTAAATGACAAAAAATGTGTTTTTCTTTGTCAGCCAGCATATTTCAGTCAGTAGTAGGAAGCAAAGGCTACTGTGTGCCCTGGGTCATGTGCTAAGCACGTGCATCAGTGTGAGCATCAAATTTGATGCATCACAGCCTAATATTTAAAACTTCAAACGTCTAAATGCTCACGTTTTTGACTTTCTGCTCTGTTTAATCAAAAGCTTTGAAGAAAAGCAATGTTTTCGTCATTCCTTGTGCAGCACATCATGATTTGTGTTTTGATTTAAACCATGCAGACTGTGCAAATATGGAAAAAAACCAAGATAAAGAAGTCTCTCTGCGGTGCGCGCAAGCTTGATTATTAAATCAACTTCTAATTATCAGCATAATTGTTTCCTTGTAATCATGGGAAAAAAACGATTTTCTTATTCAAAGAGAACATATATTTTGCCCACATTCTGTTTGCAATAATCAACAATTAAATTCCATTAAATCTTATTTTCTATTTGTTCAGCATGTTGACACTGAAAAGAAAGATCAGGTATTTTTTACTTGTAGATAATGTGAAAAGCCTGTTTCAAAGGATAACTCAGATTTGCTGCAGTGGTGGTAAGAAAAGTTGTGAATTATTATCTTACTTGCTAATAATTTTTAAAGTCCTCAATTTGGAAAAACAGTTTATTCTGAAGGACAGGCTAAAGGCTAGCTAAGCTGGGCAAAGAACAAAAGAAATTGCTCATTTTAAAACAATTCTAATCTTTAATAAAAATAAACCACTTTAAGTGCCTGCTTTTTTTATAAACCTTTTCGAGGCTTTGCTTGCAGAAATATTAGGATGCTCTTGGCAGATGTGCCCCCAGGCTTCACCAGAAAGGCTACAACTAGCTGCTATCTGCCTTTGAAGAAAACAAATATTTCACTGGTAAAAGCTGTAGAATGTAAAAATCAATGACAGTGTAAGTGACWACAAAATAATAATAACGTCTTTATAAGCAGAATTCTTTGAAACTAGGGCCGTTTTAAAACAGCAGAAACCCATTCTGGAGTCGGTCCTGCAAAAATAGCTGTTAGCTCGTCCGTCAAGCCAGAAAGGAAACCTGTTTCTCTAAAGTGAGTTCATTTAGAGATTTTAACAAGTATTAATGTGATTCAAATGGGTGTTTTTCCACAGCCGCTAATTTTACATTACATTAAATTTGTGGCTGGTTGTTAGCAGAGATAGCAGCAGCTAGCTGTAGCACTTCTGATATGCGATATGTGGATTGATACTGAAATACCAATAACACCAATGCAAGGAGCTTTATGCTCTATCACTTGTAATATATCCATACTTTTATGCAGTCATTTCAGGAAATACACTGCAAAAACTGTCCATCTTACCAAGTTTTAAAATCTTAAATTCAGCCAAAAAGTCTTTTTGATCTTGTTTTGAGACTGATTTACTAAACAAGAACTGATTGTGTAAGAATAATCATCTTGTTTTCAGAATGTGTAAGAT